TGATTTAAGTAGTTCAACATTTTGGTCATTTACATGTAACACTTCAGTTTCAAATGGTTGCGTAACACCATCATTATCTTTATTCAAATCAGACAACTCACTAATAAAATAGTAGAAAAATCATATTAATATATTATACATTTATTGTACATATATAAATGTGAGGTTACTTACTCTGAAGTGGCAGTGTTATAAAACGTTGAATTTTTTGAACTAAGTAGTTCAACATTTTGCTCATTTATATGTAATACTTCAGTTTCAAATGGTTGACTAACACCGTCATCATCTTTATTCAAATCAGACGACTCACTAATAAAATAGCAAAAAAATAATATACATAATATTCTATAAATTATACTATAAAATTAATCATGTATAAAGCATGTTAAAGCATGTTACTCACTCTTGGGTATCATTGTTGGAGGTATTATATATTTTTTAAATAATTGTGCAGTTTAGGCATTTTAACCAATACTTTGACAGTTTCAGTAGCATTTTCTTTCTATTTTTGCCGATAAAAAGCACCTCTATGTTTCTTATTAACCATCTTACTACAGCAGCAGTAGGGAAAATTCACAAAACCAAAAGCAATAAGCAAGTAAGCTGGTAAGGTAAGCATACAATTGTACAAAAGTACAGATTAAACAGCAAGAAATAATAAGTTAATCAAAATTGTTATGAAATTAGCACTATTGAGATCTTAACTTGAGTTATTAATAGTACTATATATATTACAATACTACAATTTATGGTCAAAAAGTGAATATAAATATAAATATAAATAAATATAAATAAACTTAGAGCAAGTAAATTCAAAAATGTACTGCTAAAATTATAAAGAATAAATTAAATACAAACCTTAAATTTCCTTTTCACTCGAATAAGGAATAATAATATTTATTAGTACAGACAGTACAGTATTCAAACTGTGGTTTACAAATTGAGAATTGTAATGTCACATTTACTGATTAACACACAAACTGTAAGGCTCCTACACACAATATGATCTGGTCGGTCCGACAGGATAATTTGGTGGGGTCGGACGTCGTATCAGGTCGTGTGTAGACGTGTCATCTGACTATGATCCTGTCGGGTCTTGTCTGGTGGCCGTTCCATCTTTTGTCGTTAACGCGATACCTCGTTTGTACCGGTGTACGGTGCAATTAGTGTAAAATGGCAGCTATAATTACAGAACGAGAAGTTATTTCAGAATTTTTAGAGTTGTATAAAGAATTTACTTGTTTGTGGGATGATTCCTGCAAACAGTATAGCAACAAAGATGCCAACCAAGCACTTGAAGTCTTACTTGAAAAATTAAAAGTAATCGACAACGAAGCAAGTATTGCAACCGTAAAAATAAAAATTGAAAATATGAGAGCTGCCTATAAAAGAGTTAAAAAAGGTAAACAAATCAATTACGATTATTTTAATCGTATATTGCCTTTAAGAAGGCAATGGTAGACGTGAGTGCAGGCGTGCCCAAAAGGCCCCACGTCAGGGAACTTTTTGTTAACGCACTCACTGGCAACGAGATCGGTGAGTTGATTATTTGGCAATTTTTCGTTTTTTTTTTTTTTTAATAATTGATTGTTGTTTTGCAGATTTAACGGAACAGCCGCCACAACCTTCTCCTCCCTTGATTGACAGGGGTGCCCCTCTCCCCGGCAGTTGGCTATCCTGATAGAGGCACTGTAGGCATTGCTATATCGCCGACCACCCCAGTCTGCACCACGCCGACGGGGCGGCTTAACGTTTCTATGGAACGGCTTAGGATGAAGACTCCGACCAGGACTAAGTTTTCAGCGGAGGAGATCAGGATCCTGACAGACCTGATCAGGATCCTGACAGACCTGATCAGGATCCTGACAGACCTGATCAGGATTCAGTCACCGGTCCTGTCAAGTAGCGACGATCTGACAGCGCTGATGCGCATTCCGCCATTTTTGTGTGACCCGCCCCGTACTCTCGGACCAAGATACGGGACATAAAGAAATTCTTGATCGGTAATGGCCAGTTAGGTGGGATTATGTAATACTTTTTTTTTCTTTTTTTTTTTTTAGCCGTTGCTCGGTTCGTGGATTAGGCCTATAGGGGAGACCACGAAAAAAAAACTGTCGACGTGGGAACGTCAGTGGATTAGGCCTTCGGGGATACCACTTAAAAAAAACTGTTGACGTGAGAACGTCAGTGGATTATGCCTATTGGGGATACCACTTAAAAAAAAACGCGCTTTAGCTGATACCCCTTGGGTACTGTGGAAATGCAGCTAGTACCTGGGCATTGCAGCTGTCTAATTTAAAACTTTATTTTTTAAATCTTTTAATAAAAAAGTAATGTTTTGTAAATTATTGTTATACTTGCAGCAGTTATTTGTACATACTAAATAAGAAATTATTACTAACGAAGAAAAAAAAAATCATATCACAATAATATAAGATATAGCTGTAGCCATATAAAACGATTAAAACATTTTGTTTTTCATAACTATGGACTTAAAACCAATTGATTTCAACTTTAAACTTTTTTCTGTGTTTATTAACTATTGATCTATTTTAATATGATTAGAGCGTGGATTCGTATGATTTTACATATTTATTCTGGTTGATGGTATGATAATGATATGCTAATAGTGAGTACAAAATTTGTTTATGACGATAACGATTTAAACTGTGAATCATTTGGGCTGCATAATACGACAATTAACTAACTATCGTATAATATTGCCCTTATTTTTAAAAGTATGTTGTGTATATAACTTAATTATTATTAAATTCAAATACTATATGCATAAACTAAATAAATAAACATAAATATATTATATTATATTACAATATATACATCCAAAATGAATGTTATTATTTAAGTGGCATTCAATTTTTATTTATAGTAATATCGTACCTATTATAGACTATTATAGACTAGTATTCTTAAAATAAATATTACTATTAACTAACTCTGTACCTGAGAGGCTAAAGGGCCCAAGTCCATTATTGTAACTTTTCAGGAGAGCCAAAAAACCGTTTTTCAACTATTTTTATTTTACTTAAATGGCTGGTGTAAATTCAATTTAATGATTATACCAACGAGGTTTGTTTTAAATTATAGGCTATAATATTCTCAATAAGATAAAATATTTTTCTTTTAATTATAACATATCAATAATAATAATAAATTATTATTTTATTATTTATTTAATTAAAATGTTTTGGACTTAGATCATTTTGCTCAATCACACAGTGGACTTGGACTCGGCATAAATTCACTTTAGCTACCCAGCACGTTTTTAATTTTTTTTTTTTTGAAATAGATGTACTTCTTAGAGTTAAGAACGATGGTGCAAAAAAAATGGAATAAATCCAGTTTAGCACCCCCTCGAAATTTTGAGTTTTTTTTTTTGTAACGATATTTGTAACGTATTTTGACGAGTTTATAACGATGGTGTAAAAATAAATTTTCGGAAATGATTAGTTTTGAAGTTATAGACTTGCGAAGTTCACGATTTTCGATGTTATACTCATGCGCGCAACGCTCTATTTTAATGCTTTTATACCGAGTTTTTAAATTATTTTATTCGGATTTTCTTTCTATTTATAATTTTATCTAGGCTTGTAATATAATGGATTTACTAAAGATAAGATTTAGTTTTAGCCATAATCATAAAGGTGAAGTTAAACTACAGATTAACTTTCACTCCGTGTCGTTAAGTGGTTTACGTTGTATAGTGTTAAATAATACAAATATGTCGATCATAAATTTTATCGAAATATGCAATGTTTTTGAAAATAAAACGTCTAGTCCAGTGTCTCTCAATGTAATTAAGCAGCTACAACAGTGGAATTTAAAAGCACCTGACAACCAACTCACATGTGACCGTGGGCATAATTTAAAATTATGTGAAGATGTGAGATGCATTGACGGATTTACTTGGCGGTGTCGAATAACAAGCAGTCATAAAAAAAAAAAAATGTGACTTTACGCGATCTATAAGAAAGGATACATTTTTCAACAAATCACATTTATCACTATACCAAATAGTCTCTTTTTCTTATTTATGGCTTGAAAATGTATCATTATCGTTTATTAAAAAACAAATAAAAATATCTTAACAATCCGCTGTTGACTGGGCATCATTCCACCGTGAAATCACTTAATATGATGCTATGATAACACAACACGAAAAAATTGGTTAGTTTTTCAGCCTAAATATGTATAGATGTATTTTTTTTTACAACAGTTATAAAATTAAAAATAATAATAACGTAATATTAGGAGGACCCAATAAGATCGTAGAAATCGACGAATCAAAATTTGGCCGTCGAAAATACCACCGTGGACATCGTGTGGAAGGACAATGGTGTTGAGAGGGAAACAGGAAATGTTTTTTTGATTCCAGTAGAAAAACGTGACAAAGAAACTTGACTTCAGGCAATTAAAGATTGGATTCTACCGGGTACTACCATAATTAGTGACTGTTGGAAAGTAATTATAGAAACATTCGAAAAAAATTAATTGTGTATTCAATAACTTGCTAAAATTTTAATGTTTTAGAGTTATGACTGTTTAAAAGAAGAGGGATTTAAACACCTAACAGTAAATGATTCTATCGAATTTAAAAATCCGGATACTGGGGCTCACACTACTGGAAGGAATGTGGCGCCACGCTAAGGCTTCACTATCCCTGTATTGTCGAAAGAAACGATTTTATGGAGGATATTTAGATAAATTCATGTTTTTGAAACGCTGCAAAATTCTAAAATTAGATCCGTTGAAAGAATTTTTTATTTATACAGGAAACCTATATAATCAGTTAGGCGCAATTGAGCAAGAATATATTTTAGATGATCAGGCGTCAACGATGAATCCTATTCTGATAGTGAATTTGAATTGTTAAATATATTTAATTAAATAAAATAAAACGATTTATCACTTAAAATAAAAAAAAACATTATGGTTACAAATTATTTTATAATATTGTTAGATTAAGAATATATTTTATTATGTTAAAGTGTATCTTCTTCATACTCTTGGCAATCTTCTTCAGCTGATGGTTCAGTGACTACATCATTTAAAATATCATTATAAAAATCTTTAGCATCTAGTGGTATGTTGAAATACTTTAATAGTTTTTTTACATCATCCCTTTTCTGTGGTTTTACATGACTAGTTTTAGGTAGTTTTTCAACTAATCCTAAATTTTCCAAATTTCCATTTTTTTTTAGTACAGGAACTCTAATTGGTTCTCCTTCATATGTCTGAGAAATACCAACAGTCTTTTTTCCTTGGATATAAGAAAACCGTTTTTGTTCAGTACTTTTAAACTCTGTTTTTTTAATAATTTTTTTAGCTGCTTCTTTATAATCCATAATAGAGTAATCCTTATCAAAAATTTTGATAGTAGTGTATTTCTTAAAAATATTATAATATTGTTCAGGAGAAATTATATTTTCCATTTGTCTAAGGTCTTTCTCTACTCGACCGAAAACTTAGTCAGGGGGCATATAACTATGCCCACGAACTGGAAAATAATGGTTGATTTCTTTAATAATTTTGGCTTTAAAGTTAACAAAATGTAATAATGCAATCATTACATATTGGTTCTTATTTTGAGCCGAACAGGAATCAGAAAACAAGTTGATAATAGTAGGAGGATCATTTTGACTTTCAAACTTTGTGTCAATAATTTCTAAAAAATCAATGAGCGCAGATGCAACTTCATTTGGACCTCTCCCACTTTGAGTTTCAAGCCATGTGTACATATAACAACTATCAGAGTTTTGTTTTTCTGAGTTTAAAACAAATGTAAGATTGTAGAGCCATACTTGCCTAGAATAAAAGGTATCAGTCACACTTAGTTTTGGCAGGGGCTGATTTTGCTGATTTGATTATCAAAGCTGATGTTAATAATTGATTTATTGTCTGTTTGTTTCATGAGTTTATGAAAAACCTTGCTACGCTGTTTATGGGAACTTAAATTTTCAATCAAATCAAATTTAGTATTTTCGTCAATTGCATTTTTTATTTTTATTTCTTCCTCGGTACAAAAGCTACAAACGTCTTGACGAGGGTGCCCAAATCCCAAATTGAAGTTATTAGTAAAAATAGAATAAAACTTACTGAAAGAAGCAACTGGTGCATTATTTATTATCATTTTATTTTTCCAAAGTAAAAAAATTTTACTTACTGATAATCCAGTTGGAAGATACGAACGACCTGTATCTGCCCTTGAATAATGGCTTTTCTTAGCTTTAAATAGGGTAATATGTTCAATTATAGATGCTGTTACTTGTTGATCATTTGGATTTTCATGTTTACCTCCACGTTTCTCTTTTGGGCTGCATAAGTCAAGTTGAAAGTTTTTAGCAATTATATTCAAACGTTTTCGGGATATAGAAGTTATTGAACTTAATACTGCAGCACATACAGGAATTTTCCCTTCTTTGGTTGGAATATAATATTTTACTGAGTTTCGGTCTATTGAATTATTTCTGGTTTCATTTATTTTTCGTCTATCAGTTCTTAAAGGTTTTTTTACAGTCATCAATGATATTAAATATTTATCCTGGTCTATTTTAGATTCTAAAGAGCGTAGGTTTTGTTTAAAAAGATCCAAACATTGAGCATCAATCTCAGACACTTTACAAAATGGTTTACTTTTATCTTTATGGATACAATTAATAATTAAACCAGGTTTAATTAAATTTCTGTTGTATTGCTCAATTTTTCTTTTGTTTATTTTTTGCTTTTTTCTTCCCCCATTTACAATTTCAATATTTTCTGAATATTCAGGATCTAAAAACAATTCTTCCATGTTTTCTGTGGATGGATTAGCAACTTCAAGTTGTGGAACAACAACTATTAATGGTGGCTGAATTATATCCGAAGACCATTCTGTAGGATGAATTGTCTCAGATGGAATCTCTTTATTTAAAACTGTATTTGAATCAGTAATGTTATCACCATCAATCAAGAATTCAATATTATTGAGATTCAAATAATTAACTGAATCAATCTATGAAAACAAATCAATATAAAATAAGTTGTTTTATTTAAAATATTATTATGTGAACAAAAAAAAACTATAAAATAATATTATATGATAAGAACAAAACTAGTACCTACCAAAAATGCTTCAAATAGAGAAACATATCACTACAGTATATTAAAATTACCTTGTTTTCCCAAATTAATTTAGATTATTAATTTAAAGTAGATATTTTTTTTTCCATTATTAGTTATAATAATTATAACCATTATAAAGTAGGTAGGTATTATGTAGGTAATTTTTACATTTTGCATCCTACATGTCTATATATTTATTAAGTACTTTCTGTGGTAATATATTGCTTTAGTATTTTATCGTTATGTTAAAATTTAAATTTTGATAGTAAATAGATACTATTATAATAAATAGTTTAGTTTAAATGATTAACATCAACTTACATAAATCTGACTGTCTCTATCTAATCGTTCCATTTCCATATCTGCCAAGGTATTGTCCACAGTAAAACAATTATTATTATTAGATTCATCGTTTGTGGAAGAATTAAGCCAAGTCTGTACTTTATCCTAATTTTATAACACATTATAAACATTATACAAACTGTATCATATAACACATCTATACATATTATGATATATAAACAATATTAAATTACCTGTAGATAATCATTATTCACTTTAGTATTTGAATTTATCATGTTACCATAAGTTAAACATTTAGGTTCAAATGCCTGAAACAATAATAAATAATAGAGCATTAAGTAAATCATACATTTTTCAAGTAGGAATACTTTCTTAAAAATGTACATTACAAAAAAACATATAAGTTTGTTTACTTACTGAAGTCGCTGCATTAAGCATTTTATTTATGCGTGATCTTCTCATTGTGATTGTGGCAGGTAATGAGGAAAATATTATAAAATATAAGGTAATATTTTCTTAAAAATATAACAAAGAAATTATTTCAAAACATTAAAAAGGAGATTATTAATTACATTTTAAGTTTCAACAGTAGAATATAATATTTATATCATGACAAAAGACGAGCACATTTCTAATCAGTAATACGTTTTTGGAGGGAAATGGTAACATATCTCACATTGTAATGAAGTTAGTAACGAGATAGATACATTTTATGAAAATTTGAATTACGCAGAATTTTAAATAAACGCATGGCACAAATATAATTATCAACAATGAAGTTTAAATAATTAAACAAACTTAAATTTAAAATTAATTTACATAAAAGTATAGTTAAAAATTATAAGACCGTTTTGGAAAAAAATATATTTAATGACAATACAAATGCATAGGAAAAGGAGTGTTTTGTTTCATTATGGAAATAGACCTTTTTGACAAATAATGAAGGAAATAGTACGTTGTGCAGCGAATTTCCATATATAGTACACTTTTAACGTTGGAAAAGTATACTAGATAAGTAAGATTTTGAAGTAAAATGGAAAAAGGTTGTTTTGCATTGAAGGATATCATGGAAAAGGAACGTTTGTCAGAAAACGCAGTTTTTCTACCATCGTTTTCTTAAGGAAAAAGACCGTTTTGGCTTATAATAATACGACCATTCGATTCCCCGTGCAATTTACCATATGAATCACGGTAACCTAACCGTGCAGCTGAGCTAGTATTTGTTATGGCATTGCAGACTTTGCCGTCTATCATAGTCATAACTAACTTATGGTCAATTTCAAAAGTTTGATACACACTAGGAACAAGGTTACTGATTTCGGATTCGATGCTGTTTATTTCAGTGATTATAGTATCAGTTCTCTTTTACAAACTCGAATTTAATAGGATGACAAAAATGTGTAGACGATGGACGATCATTTTCCCAAATAACTTCGTCAGTATTCAAATCATATAGTTTTATTGGGACTAAACTAATTATAAAAATACCAGAATCGTTTTCAAATGTATTATTGGAATCTATTTGTTTATAGTTACTTTGTCCAGATGCTCCGTCACATCCCCATTTACTTATTAGAACTAATTTTTTATATACAATTTCATTTTGGTTTTTCTGGACGGTCAATAAAATTCTCGAAACAGTATGGTCTAAAAGAGCTTGTAGTTGAATTTTCGCGCCAGAACTAGTCACATGTATAGACTCCTTTGCTGGATAACAATCATTTTTTGCCTGTTGAATTTTATAGTACGATGGATAGTAATTTATACCATCTTTTAATAGACTATTCCGTAAAGTACTGTACTGATATTTAGACAGTTTTAAAGAAATAATCATACCAAGTGCTTTATTTTTCGAAAGTGTGTCTAAATAAATACTATTTTTTTCACATGTTTTTTTAATTCTGTTTGCTTCACTGGGGTTTTCAATTAAATAATTTAGAATTGAAGCCATATCATTTTTACTCTCAGTTTTACATTTAAATTTTGCCGCATGCAGAAGTTCATCACTCGAATAATTATTTCTTAGTGATTCAGTTATACGATTTTTATGTCTATCAGAATAATTATTAAATTTTGTTTCATTTAAGTTTGAACCTCTATTAGGAGACACATTTTTAATACGAATTTCAGATGCGAAATCTTCCGGCAATATATAGTTTTGCATAAGCCACGTATCGTGTTTATTCAAAAATCGAATTTCATTATATGAAGCGCTAACCCATTTTTTATGTAAATTATTACAAAAATATCTCAGTGACAATTCTAATGATTTGAGGGCACCTTCAGAAATCTTTACTTTAGTAAGTTTCAAAATTTCAGTTTGAAGAAATAAATAATTATTAAGATTAGTTTTCGAGCGCTTCAATAGTAAATATAAATCATTTTTGGTTCTAATGGACCCCATTGTACAAACTATTAATATCGAAAAAAAAATCTTACCGAAAAGTTCTGTGATAGACGTAGGTATGTTGAATGTGAAAAATATATATGATGACTGATTAAAATATAAACTCAGTCGACGCGCAAGACGAGACAGAATAAAATTTAATACCTACAGGTACCGCTATGCAAACACCACTCATATTTATTATCGTAAAATGTTAATTAATTCAAGGGTCGGACAATGTCGGATAAACTAATAACAGAAATATCAAGTCATTTAGTTTTATAACCAGCTCCAATTTATTTCAAATCGACAATAGTTGACAATTTTTCTTAATCTCCATTTAAAGTATACATATGCATAAAATTTATCTTCATAATTATATTTTATTTTTAAAGTTTGATAATTAATTTAAGGTGTTTAAAAATAGTACAATAGTTATGAATAGTGCACATATTATGTAAATATACCTCATTATAATTATGTTAATGATTAAAATGATTAAAAGTGATATAGTACCTAATTAGTGAAATTTTAACTTTTAATAATATAATATAATAATAATAGCAATTTCTCTATACAAATTATTTATTGAATATGACGATTTTTGTTATATATTAAATTTACTTGTATTTTCATCAAAAACATTTTTAGTTAATAAAATCATTAAATAAACTACTTGAAAATACATTTTTATCATTTTCAATTAAAAATTCAATGATTTACATTTTAGTACAATGTCCGATATTGCCGCTGCCGTGCTACACTGTGCGTCGCTGCGCTCCGAAAATCGAAAATATCCCTCAACTTGCTATGCAACACCACCTCAAGTAGGTCACATGGTAAGTTATGTTGTATTTATTTTTGCACTATCGTTCTAAATTCGTTGAAATACCTGTTTCCGAAAAAAAATTATTTGTTATAAGAGCGTTAAAATAGAGCGTTGCGCGCATGAGTAAAACATCGAAAATCGTGAACTTCCCAAGTCTATAACTTCAAAACTAATCATTTCCGAAAATTTATTTTTACACCATCGTTCTAAACTCGTCGAACTTCATAGGTTTCAGAAAAAAAAAATCGAAAATTCGAGGGGGTGCTAAACTAGATTTATACTAAAATTGAATATACTCATTAGCCTGATACATGGCAAAATTTATGTTTTTGAAACAATGCCGTGCCGAAAAAGTTGAACCTTTGTCTGCATTTTTTTAATTTGCTGGCCATTTATACTCGGCAGCTGCACACACCGAAAATGGGGATTACGTAATTGCCGAAGACTCAGACAGTTTCAATGACGCCGATAGTACAGATTACGATATCGATATGTAAATAAATGATAATAATATAATGATGATTATACCAGAATTTTTTTTTTAGCATCCTAATTTAATATTTTAATGTGTTGTGGAAATAAGACGACTCGATGATTGTGCAAATTCTGATTGCATACAAAAGAAACTCAAAATTAATTATGTTATGGACGTTGCGCGAGGCATTATAGTAGTGATGCGCGCATGTGTATCAACATAAAATCGCAAACTTTGGATAGCTATAACTTCCAAAATAATGGTTTACGCTAATTGTTTTTTGCACCATCGTTCTTAAATCGCCGAAATACATCTATTTCGAAAAAAAAAATTTTAAAAATGTGCTGGGTTGCTAAAGTGAATTTGTTCCATCATAATATCTATGATAGCTATTATATTACATATTTTAATATAATTTTAAATACATAACATTATGTAATTTATAATTATTTGGATATACTTTTGTTAGAATTTTCAAGTGTTGAATTGCCATTTGCAAGGCTTACAAGCTTTCTCCCTCTGTTCATATTATTTAGTTTATATTTTTTATACTTTTTATAATATTATATTCTACACCTTGTGTATGACATATTGACATCATTATATTTTATAAAATCCAAATTCATATGCTAATTTACTAACAAGTTACAACTTTGGTTGTCTTTATATAACAATAAAAATATTATATTATTATGATGATAATAATAACGTTATCAATTAGATCTAATTCACAGTCATAAGAAAAGGTATATATTTTCTATGCAGCAAACCCTAGCAAGAATAGCCAAGTCCAAAAATATAATGCAATCAATTGGGTCCAAGTCCTTGCAAGAATTTTGCAAAATGATCCAAGTCCTAATCATGGACTCTTTTTTTACAGATTATAAATTATTGATATAGTAACCTACATAAGCAAATGAAACTCTCCATATTCTAAAATAGGTAAATACTTAACATTTTAATTTATTCATATAACATTTATTGACCTTACCTTTATAAAAGTTCTCAGCACTTTAAAAATAGCATTGCACGTTTCTGGGATTATTTTTGACAGCAACTGTTGTGAAATTGCTGTACTAAATTTCAAATCGGCATAATCTCTACCTGTTGCCAAATACCTAAGGGTGGCCACAAGTCGTTCTTCAACACTGACTGCTTCTCTCATATGAGTATTTTGTTTCGAGATCAATGGACTCACTAAATTTAATAATTAATTGAAACAATCGTAATCCATCCTTAAATAATTACGGAAGTTATGTGGCTGAATTTCTTTCGTTCTATTAGCCATTTTTTGGCCTACATTCTTATTTTCTTCTTTACATCCTCAAATGTTAAAGATAATGCTGTAAGAGCAATTCCAATTTTTTGCGTTTTGTCACCGGAGCCATTGTTTATTGTAATTTATCTTTGTGATCACGAAACTGTGGTTAAACGAAAGCGAATCGTCATGCAGTCGCAGAACACTACTGCACTAGTGGAATTAAAATTCATCTGATCAACTCGTACAGAGGTCGTGTCGTCTGTACTCTGTACCCCATAGAGTAATTAATGATTATTTTTAATGTAGCTCATCACAATATACAATCCGTGTGTTCCTAAATTCATCAGATTGGTCAGCCGCTGGACTTCACTGTTTCTAATTACAGCAGATGGTCAATCCGTTGGAGGGGAGGTAATCAAGCCGATTGAGTTATCAGCAATCTACTATTTTACGGCTGGGTGAATTCAAAACCAGATGGATTTGATAACAATTATTCGAACTAATAGACTTAAAGAAATAGGTCTATAATGCTCAGGGTAAACATTTATCACCAAATTATATATTGGGATAGCATGGCTGGCTTTTGAAGGCTTAATTATTTATTTAATTATAAATATTATTATTATTAATTTGAATTTATATTTAACAATTATTAAGATATCTAATTGCTAATTGCCATATTTTAATTATTCATTATCAATTTTATTAGATCTTGATTAAGAAACATTGTGCAAAAATATAACTGTCATATTAGTTAAGGATTGTGTTACATTTAAAGAAAATGAAAAAGTTGGTGTAGAAATACCTGATTGGTAAGTTTGTTTACAACATAACTGGTTAAAATTAATAATTTGATTGTTTGAAATAACTAGTTGGGTGACTATTTGAATTGACTAGTTGAACTATTTAATGTGTTGTCAATGGTGATTTAAGGGATCAAAAAAAGTTGGTAAATCTATAAGAGGGGCCTTGTACAAACAGTATCAGTAACTTACTTACACCCATTTTACAAAACCAATCGCTTTGCTCGTGATAAATAATAACAATATTCATTTTATATTACCTTTACCTAACAAATCATCTTAAAAAAAAAAAAAAATGACAAAAAAAAAACAAAATTACCATTAGGTATATAAAATAAAATTACAAATTTATAGTTGAGAATCTCTGCAAATATGGAAAAGAAATTTTATTTTTTTGCTCAAAGTTTAAGAGTCAACTAGGTACTTACATAATTTATTAGTGGGCCTCATCGACATTTGCCGACTAAACGACCGTTAAATCCGTCACTGTGTGTTGTACATTGATTTTGACAAAATTAACTTTTCAGGGATATGAAATTTTGAAGAGTAATGCAATAAATAATAAATATTGTACACAATCTAATAAAACATCAACTAACATCACAATATCTACAAAACAAGGTTTGTGCAATTTATATTAAACTGTTTACGTCTACCATAATAATACCTAGTTAAAAAAGTATAAATAACTTTTTGGTTGTTTAATTGATAGTTAATGATGGACCTTTTGACGATGCTCAATATAGTATGCCAGAAATAAAAATTTGGACATCTAAAGCAATAAAATTACTGATTGTAAATATAGGTGATCTCGAGCATGAGTTCAACAGTAACAAAAAAAATCATACAATTTGGGAAAAAATGTCTAATATCTTAAATGAAAATGGTATTGCAGTGTCTGGATCAAACTGTAATACAAAGTTCCGAAACTTGATGGCTACATTTAGAGATAATGTGCAAAGAGCCAATAAGCCTGGTGAAGGAGCTATCAATTGGGAATATTATGTTCTAATGAAACAGTATTTTGGAAAAAAGGATTCAGTTACTCCAAATAAAAGTACCCTATTAGAAAGTAGTATACCAAATTCCAGTAAAATAAGTTTGATAAATGGAAAAAAAGCAGATGAACATACCAAACTGTCCAAACCACAACGTTCTCAACTAATAGATTCCATTGATGAAGAAATAAACTATTAAACTCTGATGAAGATATAATACCAAAAAGGAAAAAAAAAATTTCCAAAACATTATTAGAGGAAATAAAGGAAGATTGAAAATCCAGAGATAATTTTCAAAACAAACTTGAAAGTTTCATGGACAAGCTGATTCAAATTGAAACTGGATAAAATGTAATAATTTTTTTTTAATCAATTATTAATGATACTGGTATCAGTTGCTATGTTTTTTCATAGATATGTATGTAAAGCTTAAAGTTATGTTGTTTTGTTTTGTTCTTAACATTTTTATAAGATAAATGGGCAAAGGTTATTGTTCCTTGTATATTTAATTTTTTTTTTAAACTTTAAAATCATTTAAAGTTTTCTAATATATTAAGTTTTTATTATTAAAACATTGTTAACATGTGTATATTGATTTTTATTTAGTATTTACATGAAATATACATTACAAAGGTCCAAGATATCTAACTTCTGCTCTTATTGTTGGTAATATTGGTAAAAAGTATTTTTTTTAAATAGATAACTTAATAAAAACAAAAATGTATTTATTTTCTGCAACTGACATAGTCAATATGATATTTTAAAACAAACTAAGTAACAAAAATTCTACAGAAAGCCTTAAGGAAATTCCTCTTGTCATGCAAATTTAATTTTCATAAAACCTGAAACAAAGTATGATCATTTTTCTGTATTTAAAAGTTGATACTAGATAAAATTACAATTTATGACAAATTTTTTGGTTTCATATACCTATCTGCAAGGTTGTTTCTTTTATCAACCCCATTTCTTTGATTGATTGCTAATGAAACACTACATTCTTGATTGTTTTCTTCTGTAAATTCTGTTAAATCTGTATTATGATCATTGTCTATCTCTATGAAATCATTATTTTGTAATGCTAAATTATGTAATATGCAAGCACTTGTCACTGTAAGGCTCATCAATTCAGTGGACTTTGCTTCCAATATCGTAAAACATTAAACGTAATATTCTAATAAAAAAGGTGAGACAATAATTTTAATTATTAAAAATGATAAGCATAATATTGTCCGTAGGTCCGTCAGTCCGTAAGATAACTAGTTACTGTATTGGGTGATTTATATATTAATAATAAATTACATTTTAAAGGTATTTGTTTTGCTAACAGAAAAAATTATTTTGTTAAAAAATCTTAGTACCTATAAATTATTTTTGACTAAACATAAAATATATTTATTTACTTAAGTCTCCGGAAACGGCCAAGTAACAATCCAAAAGCTTGTTCTATAACAACTCGGGTAGAACTCGACCTTCTATTGAATGACTTTTCCTTTTCTGTCAGAATATGAGTAGCTTTGTAAGGAACCATGAGATTTTCTAGTAAAGGAAATGCTGAATCTCCGAGGATGTGCTGGTTTTTAGAAATTATTTCTTGAAGACTATTTATTAATGTGTGTCCCAAAGATGAATTTTTAAAGACCCTCGCATCATGGGAACTTCCTGGCCAACCAGAGAAAATATAGGTAAATTCCAACTTAGCATTACATACAGCCTAAGAAATAAGAACAAAATAATTTATTTAGAATAATAAAAAACCAAAACTTTAATATAATTTTTTGTATTTTTCAAATATTTACCAGAAGAACAATTGATTGGAACATTTTACGATTGGTATAATCAGATCTCTTGTCTCTTGGTGCATGTAAGCGTATGTGGCAACCATCAATACATCCGATTGTGTTAGGCATATAATTAAATGTCAACCTTTTAAAATTTTTTATTGTTGCTAAATGTATACCCAAGTATAATGTAATATAAATAATTATAATGAATTAAATAGCTTATATACCGGCTTCAGAGCTTCCCTTAGGCCATAAAACAAAATCATCAAGTAGTTTTGAAAAAACTCGAATAAACTTATGAATTGTTCAACAGGCAAGACCTCTGCTCAAATCAAAACGATCTCCAATTTGACTAAACATAACATAAATTTAACCTCGTGATACATAATTAAAAAAACTGATTAATTGTTCTAAAATAAAGTATATACAAATTTCATTACCGATTTCTTCCGTATTGCTCAAATACCAGACAGTCATCAACGTTGCCTTTTTGTAGTCCACTGATGGCCTTCCAACTACAGAATTTGGTGAAATATAAAATGGTTTTACCTTGCACATAAGAATCTGTATTGTTAATAATAAAATAGTATTTGGTATTAATGTATTATAGAATTAAATATTATTACATAATTTAATATTTAATAATTTTCTTACTTCAACTGAACTTCTTGTGAGTCTAAAATGGCATTTAAAGTCAATGTCATCATATAAACTTGTGATTACCATAACATTTCTTATACGCACTTTTGATGTTTTTGATGTTAAACGAAGAAGCAGGTTTTTTTTTGAATCCAACGATGAATTTAAACACTGAAGGTGGCTTACACCAAATAACAAAATCAATTTTGATAAATTATTATCCATTTTTTTATAATTCAAATTAATTCAATAAATTCAAATGTAAACTTTTAAAAAAATGCTCGAAAAAATGATTACAAAATCAACTATCTTATTTGAACATAATTGATAACTGATATTATAATAACATTATAGTGGTTGATGGCGGTTAAACGTAATAACCAGCTTGTAACAACGCAATGCTCCAAAAATTTGTTAATAAACTACAATAAATCTGCTGGATTAGGTAATGAATTTAGGAACACACGGAATATTAAAATTAATCACTTTTCTATGATATAGATTATTATAGATTATACACCCATAGAGGAATAGTCATATAAAATGTAATGTTATTATGTATATGTCTAATATACGTCAGTATATGTTTAATTTATAAATCTTCATCTGTTTCATCTGTTTCACCCTCAGTTTCACTAAATTCTTCATGAACCTCCAAATCGTCATGATCTATATCATCAGAATTACATAAATTTAAAATAAGAAATGATTTTACTTCATCCGACAATTGGGTTATAGTTTTTGCCGGTAATTTTCTCATTGTCGACAAATATGGATCAGAAGACACATGGAGGATGTCTTCATTTGTATTTAACCTCGAACATTTTCTAGAGTGATGCTCTCTGTATTTACTCAAATCCTTATTTTAGCTTTAGCTGCTTCTTCAAAAAGTTGTCCTGTACATTTTTATAATTCTATTTAAATTAAATAATTTTTTTTTTTTTAGTTAAACGGTAAAACTTACCCATTGGCAATAATGCATACTGTACAATATCTGCACCATGTATTAGTATTATCATGTATTATCCTGTGATAATAGCACTAGTTTCAGCATTTTTAAAAAATTTACGGGCTGTGTTTCCATTGTTAGTTGTTCCAGCTCCTAAAAAAAAAATATACATATATTTAAAAATTTAGCAAGAACTATGAATTATTAAACACTTACTTTGTAACACAACATCGACTAATAAACCCAATTGTAAACGAAATTGATCTTGTATATACTTTTTTCGTTTTTGAAATATTTCTTTGTGTTTCAACGATCTTACCTTAATTACAATCTTTATTAATTAATTTATACATTTGTATATTATGCTTATGTATAGAATAATATTTACCTGCCACGTTTTAATATCTAAACGATATGATATATGTAATAAACATTCAAACAATCGAATATGAGCATGAAGCACCGATAGACCAAATCTGTATGTTTCACAATCAGCTTTATAATTTATTAAACTATCGATTTTGTTCACTTCTTTTGGACTACATTTACATATATAACATTTCTGACTAGAGGTTTCGGTTATTTAGTTGCAAATCTAAAAAAAATAACACTTTAAACAATAAATACATTTTTTTTATAAATTATCAATAATTATATTTATGTATTCGTATAAAAATATTACCTTGCCATCGATCATTGAAATATTAGAGTATATTCTATTTGTATTTCGGCTGAATTATTGATAGTAATTGTGGTAGGAATTAATATTTTTATTTGATTTTCAATATGATCAACTAATCGTCTCGTACTTTCTTTAGTCTCTTTTATATACTCAAACATAATTGGTCTACAGAATCTTGTTGAAGAATATCGAGGATTTTCCCAGATAGTAAAGTAGCTTTCATTTCTTTTACATCTTAATTGAAGCGGAACTAAATATGCCATAACTATATCTGCATCTGTTTTATCAGGTTGCGTTTTAAAAATTTGCTTATACCTTGAATGGCCCCCACTGCCATCACAACCCCACTTATAAGTTATAAATCATTTCAAAATTATAAGATTGTGAAATAATTCGAATAGTAGGTATTTGAAATATTCGTTGAACAGTATGATCAAGTAAATTTTGCAAAGGTATATTAGAAGCACTTTCTGATACGAAACATTTATCTGGATAGCATCTTTGTTTGGCTTGAAGAATACTATTATATGATGGATATATATATATTAGCATTACGCTGTTTTGCTTCCAATCGCAATTCAATTTATTGATTTTTCGTAAGTCATTAAACAACAAAGCACTTCATCATCAGAATAGGGTATTGGTTTATTATGGTTTTTAATATTTGTTTTTATTTTAGAAGCTCTAGTTGGATTCTGCCCAATCTCGTTTTCCAGCTTTATATAATTTTGTTTGAGTTGCAAAAATTAATTCCGGTGTAGTTAGGCCATCAACGATGGCTTTAACTATTTTACTCTTCGTTCTATTTTTTAAGTCAGAAAACTCTTTTGATGGCCTTCCTACAGTTTTTAAAGTTTGATCATTTTTTATATCAGGGAATTTAAATTCTGTTTCTGGCCATTTTTTATATTTATTCATAAATATGTTCAAAGTTCGATTACAACCTGACCATTTTTTTGTTAGAGAACGCGAAAAAATCAAGATTTCTGTTTCTATTTTTTTTATATAACTTGTATCCCAATTTTTAGAACCGTAATTTTGTATGATAAAATCCAATAAATAATTTCTAGAATCAATGTTTTGAGGTGACAAAGTTCCATTATTTCTTAATTGCAAAAACAGTGTCTTAAACGTCAATTTTTTTTCACAAACATTGTCTGAAATAATATATTATATTAAATTTGTAGAATTTAAGTTCAGAAATGTATTATTTATATAATTAAAGCTATTTTTATTCTTAAACACACATACACACAACGTTTATATTAACTTGTTGAACATACAATTTTAATGTAATACTTAATATTTTAATTTTCAAGGTACCTATCTGATAAAGTAATAATATATTTTCTATGGTAATAAAATTTCTAGAATTGCAAAGGCAGATAAAGTATACATGATTAGGAAGCTGAGAACTTATACTATAATCTAAAATAATTTATTAAAAAGCAAAATTGGGGAATTTCAATTCAGAGCTCTTTAAATTCACGAAATCATCAATACTGCAATACAATTAAATAAATAAAACAGTAGCAATTTTCAAACTTGAACAACTTACCTTCAATTTCCATGTCCATATTAATTTTTCAAAATATAACAAAAAAAATTACACAACAATTTATGAAAAATATAATAGGTACTTTCTTTTTGGCGTTTACTAGATAAATGAACAACGTTCACATGTTTATTCGCGATAATGAAATTCTTATCTGCAGTTATTTTGGTATGGGTAATACAAAAAGTTATTTTTGTGATCAGTATTTTGTAGACAGCCAGTTCATCATTAGGAAAATATTTATAAGACAACTTTTTTTTTATTAATTTTGACGCTCCAAACTTTCATTTTGGACCACTGTGCGTCATTCTCCACTATAATAATATTGTTTTATTTGATTTTGTACTCTCTTGTTAGTTAGTTGATGATAAAAATATAGTCACCACATTATAGTTATTTTACATTTGGCTGCGTGTTACGTGTATATTTTATACAAATATACCATGTACACTTGCACAATGCACATCATGGTTTAGCGGACCTGCCACATTTTAGATCAACTGAGTTAACGATTGACGATTGTACGTATAACCAGGGTTTGGAATGTATGCATTCAATTGAATGCATTCACACGAATGTATTAATTTTCAATGAATGCAATTCATGAGTACATTCAATTTTTACATTCTGAATTATGAATGTAATTATGCAATTCTTTTTCTAATCACATTTAAAATATTTTATATTTTTAATACCAAAAAATAATTTTTACTTTGTATTGTAAAGCTCTACCAATAAAATGAAGTCTGATTAATCAGTTGGTCACTCTTCACTATCACTCGTCATCCACAGAGTAGGTACTCATAGATTTATAAAATAAATGTTATTTTATATCAAGGTTGGTAGATATCTACCAACCTTGATTTTATAAATCCATGAGTACCTACTCTGTGGTTGACGAGTGATAGTGAAGAGTGACCAACTGGTTAATACGACTTCATGTTATTGCTAGAGCTTTACAATACAAATACTTAGTGATGTAAATTTGTATAATACAAATGTATAAAATCGTATTATACTGGTAATATACAAGCTGTATAGAATTATTTTATACAATGGTATAAAATCTGTAGAAAACTTTTTTTTTCGCTAAGTGGTTAAAATAAGAGGTTTTCCTTATCTTTTTTTTTTTTTTGTAACAACCGTTAACTACAAACTTGTATTTACATTGTACTGTTAATAGACTACTAAGTACTAACAAGTAACAAGTGTGAAGTAAAAGTTAAAATGGGACGGCCTACTAAATATAAAGAAGCTGTTACTAAACATTTTAAGAAATCACTGACAAAAAAAGGTAAATCAGAATACTTTGAATGCACGTTTTGTTTAAATTATGTTTAATTTATGTCTATCTGATTCTGAAGACGATTATTAAAAATCTATTATTTTATATTTACAAACAAAAAAGGTTTTATTTTATTTTCTATAATTTTTTTTTTATACTAAACAGGAAACTAAAAGACTTAAGTGTTAAAATTGTTACTATAACCTATAAAGTATTACTATTTATTATTGTAATTTTTATATTAAACATTTATTTTAGTTATTATTTAGAAAAAAAACCAAAAGAGTTATTTATGTTTATTAAAATTGTTAATTATTACTTTACTTGTTGACTTTGTTATTCTTTTGAATTTAATTTATATTATTATTAATTTATATTACTATATTATTTGTATTAATAAGACTCAATTTTCAAATAGGAAATAGACAATGGTTGAGTAATCAATTTTAAATTGTATAATTGTATATTATATATTTAAATACAGGATTTTATACTGTATAAAATGTGTATAATACGGTATAATACAAAAAATTATTATACCCTACTTAATTACAATAGTATTATACAAAATTTAATACACGTATAATACAAGGTATAATACAGTATAATACAAAAATAAAATAAAATACCGTATTTTAACAACACTACAAATACTACTCTATATCTCTATCTACATAATCTGCGGCAAGGTTAAAATATTATCGGCTCAGTTTCAACCAAAATAACAAATAACGGTAACCCACTCGTTTTGGTTTTAAAACAGTGTTTTGGCGTTTCTCCTTATCACACACCACCAAATAAATTATAAAAAAATGTTTAAAAATGTAATATTTTAATATAATGGAGACTAATCAAAGTACTTCTAAGAACATTGAAGAATTGGAATGACCATGGAAAAGATATGATGGCTATTTTACATTAATTCGTATGCAAGAAGAAAACTATGTTGTTAAGTGCATTACTTGTAGTAAACAATATAGTGTTCATAAACGTGCATCGTCCATCTTAAAAAGACATATGCAGGTATTCCAATGTCCAATTACTTGTAATTTGTTACTCACTAGTTTTCGTTAATCAGTTATTATGTACTATTAAATATTAATTATAACTACTTTTTAATTATATGAAACGTGTGATATAAATATATAATTAAAGTATTAAACCATTAAATTAATTGATGGGTTGATAACTTGATTCTCATTAAATATTAAAATATACTATAACATCTATAACTTTTATAAACTAACTTATTTCAGAAAGTACATCAATTTAAATTACAAGAATTTTTAAAAGCCACCACTAATTTAACATCTGATACAAAACGAAGTCTTTCCATTGGTTGTGATATGTTGAAGAATGAAAAATTCCTACAAGCCCCACTTGAACGTTTTGGATCTGGAGTTGGTAGAGATGTAGTATCGCAAAAAACGCTTGACTCGATGATTCTAAAATTTATACTTGCAGAAACTCAACCTTTACGTATAGTCGATCAGTCTTCTTTTAATCTTGTACGTTTAGGATTACCGAAACATTTACCAATCATGTGTTCAAAAACGCTTAAATCAAAAATTATTATTATGTTTGATGAAATGAAAACTAATCTTATTGATACTCTTAGCTCTACATTGTGGGTATCTACAACAGCTGATTGTTGGACTCAGGGCAAACGCAGTTTCATTTGTGTAATATGTCATTGGATTGAGGATAAGACATTATTAAGAAAAAAATGCTACTTTGGCGTGTTCACGAATAGAAGGAAAACCTACGATATAATTGCTCAAAAATATATTCTATTCACCAAGATTACAACATTTCTAACAAGGTATTATCATGCACAACGGACAATGGCTCAAATTTTGTAAAGGCCTTCAAAGAATTTAGTAAAGAACTACCATTGGAAGATGATGAAGATGATAGTCAAATTTGTTTTATCGACCTATTTGATATCCTCAATGAGGACACTAAAGAAAAAGATGATTTAGATAATATTAATTTACCATTACATAGAAGATGTGCATCTCATACTATTAATCTAATTGCTACAAATGATATATAAAAAGCTTTAAGTAATATTGATAACAAATGTATTTATAATGGAAGAGAAAAAAAATTACTATACTTTAAGAAAGTATATAGAAAAGTCATTGTCAAAATTCAAAAACTTTGGAACAAACAAAATCAATCATGTCTTGTGGCTGAAAAAATACATGAACAATTTGGTGTTTACCTTAAGTCACCCAGTCAAACTCATTGGAATGGACTATATGACGGAATTTCACAAATTAATAACTTGTTGAAAGTACCTCTAGGATTAAATAAATTTCATAACGTTTTTGAATTTTGTTCAATACCTCGGTTTGGACTAGAAGAAATTGATTTCATTCGAGAATATGTTGATGTTATGAAACCACTAGCTGATTCTTTAGATTTTCTTCAAGAAGAAAAAGTTGTTTATATGGGTTTTTTGCTTCCAACTTTATAGGCATTACAAAATAAGTATAATAAGCTTAAAGTCAAAAACTTTACGATATGTGGTTCTCTTGTACAAATAATAGTTTCAGGAATTGATAAAAGGTAATTTATTTAAAGTTTTTATTTCTTTAAATTTAATAATTACTATAATAATATCAATATAAAAATTAATAATGAATTTTTATAATATATTCCAGGTTTAGTCCAATATGGTGTGAAAAAAATTTAATAATAGCTGCATGTCTTATACCGCAATTCAAATTGAAATGGTTAAATGATACTGATATGTATAACACAGCTGAAGAATGACTTAAAACTGAGTTTAATAAACTTAACCAAGAAGCACTAAATGACTCAAGTAGCAGTGATGAGGGTGTTAGTGAGTCAGAAGACTTTTTCTGCATGTTAAAAAATAAACCTAATACCATCAAACCAGACCAACAACTTAGTGATTATTTAAAAAGTACTAATACCGAACATACATCTTTATCGATATATCCAAAGGTCGTAAAAACATTTATATATTTTAATGTAGGACTACCTTCTAGTGCTTCGGTCGAAAGACTGTTTAGTGCTGCTGGATTAATTTTAGTGCCACAGCGGCAATGTTTATCGAATAGCTTATTCGAAAAAATATTATTATTAAAATGTAATACCTAAAGACCTATTTATACCTATTTATTTCAAAACAAGACAGTTTTATTTATTTAATTTTTCCAATTTTATCTTATTCATGTTTGACGTTATTGTTTCTAATTTTCTATGATACATTATTATTTTATTATTATCAGGGGCGTAATTAAGGGGGGATGAGGGGGATATATCCACCCCAGAGCCTATATAATATGTATATTTATATATTAATTTGAAGCTTGTGGAATTATGTGTTTTGTCGTGCTGACATCACGACGAAATATATTAAATATATTTAATATCAAGAAATCTATAAATAGGTATGCGCATGGAAAATACTGATTATAAGAAACAATGACTGGCAGCTAAATACGCCGAAACAGTTAAGTTATCATTTTATGTAGTTATTTTTGTTGGGGTGGAACGTTGACGTTGTTGTTGTTATATAAAATATTATTTCAGTCCCGTGGCACACTCCGATAGCGACAGTCGTGTAAGTTAAAGTTCAGTACGTTATCTACATCACAACGTTGTCATACGGTTTCACCACAAATAAATCTAACATGTACGGACTAAAGGTAAGAATTTAATTATAACGCTAATTAATTTCATTACCACCGTACAAAATGAGTTATACTCATCACCGTACACCTCCCCCTAACCGAGGATCCCCTACGTCACCCAAACCCCCCTCCTCACCTAATAGTCCAATTTCTACCAAACAACCAAACACTTCCTCAAAAATTCCACAACCAAATGAGAATGCAGAACACAAATCTAAGACCTCAACCAATGCGATGAACAATAATATAACATCATCCAGCCAACAGAAACAACAGCCTACAACAACATTCGATGAGAAATTGGGCAATGGCCTGTTCCCTAAAAAGGAACAAGCAATTGTATTCGACGCAGTAGATGAAGTATCGCAAATTGAATATATAAAAAAGATAGGTGACATAGTTAAACCCATAAATATAATATCTGTTTCAAAAATCTCAAAAAAAAGATTCTGCATCTTCTTAAATTCCAAAGAACTAGTAACCGAACTAATATCAATACACAAGACAATTGAAATACAAAATAAATTAATTCATATTCGCCACTTATATAACCCAGATAAGCGATTTATACTAGCAAATGTATACAATAATATTCCTCACAGTACTATTTTGGAAGCTCTACGTTACCATGATATTATTCCCACTAGCCCCATCACCTGCCTCAGAGCAGGTATACAACTAGAAGGATACGCCCATATACTCAGCTTTAGAAGACAATTATTCATTAAAGCAGAAGATTTGCCTAAAATGCCTAGCTCCATACTTATAAATTATGACGGAACAAACCACCGTATATTTATCTCTGATGACCAAGTAACTTGCTTCAATTGTAAAATGACTGGTCATGTAGCATCAAAATGCCCGCATATCATAGAATCACAGAATTATAATATTGAAAATAATATTGAAGATATCAGCGAGCCAGCAGTTGACCTCATTACTGATAATTAGGCAGATAACACAGATAATACAGAACCAATTACACCAATGGAAAATATTGGAAATAATGACCTAATTAATATTGACAATTCAGCTATGGACATTGACCTAACTGGGGCAACAACAGATAACGGGTGTATTAAAAGAGCAGCGTCGAGCTCAACTACTTCTAACGCCACACAAGAACCAATTAGTATAATTAATAAGATCGGCACAAAGCTGACAGTAAACGAAAAAAAAACAAACTAGTACTACATCTACGGCGACGAAAATTCAAAAAGATCAAGTTATCAAAAAATCCAAAACACTAGTTAGGTCAAATTCAACAGAAAAACTTATCGACAATATAAAGCAATTTATTGAACCAGCCAGAAATATAATAAAAAATAGTAAAGACATAAATATAGATTTTGACCAACTCAAGAACATAGTTATAAATGCACAAGGAAACGCAGACCCTAGCGATATTTGCAAACAATATGGAACTGATACCAAAACCGTGCTTAACACGATAAAGATGGTCAGACCGGCAATTAAATCTCAAAGCCTGAAAAATAGATTGACTCGCTTATCAACCAAATTATTAGAAACAATGGATTTAGATAATCGCGAAACGACCGTCCTCGAGACGGATAACCCTTCGTCACCCAATAATTACCTAACCAATTAATTAGGTAATTAATTATTTCACAACGTAAAACAATGTCGCACATACAAAATATATACCGAAACACATACGTAAATTACCTGTATTCCATACCCACATATAATACAATACTTAGCATGCATAATATAATATCAAATAATATAAATACGAATCATAATATACTACAGTGGAATATCAACGGATTCCATAAAAAAATTGATGACCTTAAAAGATTAATTCATGAATACTCGCCACTCGTAATCTGCCTACAAGAAACAAATTTCATCGAAAATCACACACCCGAACTTAAAGGCTACCTCGGATACTCAAAAAATCGCTCCATTAGAAGTAGAGCCAGCGGAGGCGCATCAATCTACGCAAACTCATCCTTTCCTTCCGAAGAAATTAAAATCACCTCCAACTTCGAAGTAACAGCAATAACTGTTCACATAAAAGAAAAAATAACTATTTGTAACATATATCTTCCAAACCAACATGATTACGAAATCGAAAATCTAGAAAATATAATTAATCAATTACCACGACCCTATATACTAACCGGTGATTTTAACAGTCATAACACTCTATGGGGAAGCACGCATATTGATAGTAGAGGAAAAAAAATAGAAAAAATGCTTGACCATAACTATATCACACTACTTAACGACGGAAGCCCTACGCACTTTAATACCGCCAATGGATCAGTATCGGCCATAGACCTATCCTTTTCATCCGCAAATATATCAACCAATCTGGATTGGACGGTGGAACAAGAATTATATAAAAGTGACCACTGGCCTATTATCATAAAAATGCATAACAGAGACTCTACTTTAATATATAAAACCAAAGAGAAATGGAACTTAAAAAACCTAATTGGGAATTATTTTCAAATACAATTCAATCTGAACTTGAAAAAATGCCTCCCAATGGATGATAATAGCACAGACGAAATAGTTGATATCTTTACAGAAATAATACATAACACTGGAATGAATATAATTAAAAAAAAATAAATACAGCGGAACCAAAAAGCCCGTACCATGGTGGTCGGAAGAATGTAAAAACATAATTAAAATCAAAAACAAAGCCTTAAATAAATTTAGAAAAAGCAGAAGTATAATCGATCTAATTGAACTTAAAAAACAAAGAGCTAAAGCTAAATACATTATAAAAAAATTGTAAAACAAACTCGTGGAACTCTTTCACGTCATCAATTACCTGCCTTGAAAATCCTAATATAGTGTGGAACAAAGTAAAATCAATAAAAGGAGTTCAAAAATCAACGGATATCAAATTACTCAGAACTAATAATAATAAATCCATTATTACAGAACCGTTAGAAATAGCAAACGCACTAGGTGAATACTTTCAGGAAATAAGCGACGATAACAACTTTGATCCAAATTTCTTAAAGTAAAAATCCGAAATCGAAAAACAAAATATAAACGTTAATGAACTAACCACTGTTGAACATATTGATACACCAAACCTAAATTTGTCAATAACAAGAAAAGAACTCGACAACATTATTTATGAACATAAGAGCAACTGTTGTGGACCTGATGACATCCCCTTCATATTTATACAAAATTTACCCGAAATAGGAAAAATTACATTACTCAAAATATTTAATAAAATGTGGACACAACACAAGTTCCCAAAAAAATGGAAACAAGCTACCATTATCCCAATTCATAAACCTAACCAAAATAAATTCGCAGTACAAGGATACAGGCCTATATCGCTGCTATGCACAATGAGTAAAATATTCGAAAAAATAGTCAGCGTTCGACTTAACTGGTTTCTAGAAAAAAATTAACTTCTCGCCAAAGAACAATATGGATTTCGGAAAAACAGATCGACCTACGACTGCCTTGTAAACATTGATACGGAAATATGTGAAACAATTGCATGCAAACAATACATGGGACTGGTAAGCTTCGATATACAAAAAGCGTATGATATGACATGGAGATACCAAATTATTTCAATCTTACGTTAAAGGTAACATTTTATATTTCATACATAATTTCCTTATTGACCGAACATTCGAAGTTGCGGTTGATGGACATCATTCATCCTTATATAACCTGAATAACGGAATTGCCCAAGGCTCTTCCATAAGTGTAAAATTATTTCTAATCTCAATAAATGACTTATCTAAACTTATACCCACCCCTGGAAAAATTACAATATATGCGGATGACAGCAATATTTTCTTTCGACACAAATGTATTGACACTTTAGGAAAAGAATTACAGAAATACACCAACTCGCTAAAGGATTGGATCAAAAATACAGGGTTCAAATTTGCACCAGAAAAATCCCAGTTCATAATATTTTCAATCAAAAAAATTAAAAAAAACCAACTTTAAAAATGGACAACAAAATAATTCCTTACACAAGACACTTAAAAATATTAGGTCTTACCTTCGATGAAAAACTTACCTGGACCACACACATAAAAAGCTAAAAGACAAAGCCAAAAAAAGACTGAACATTATCAAAGTACTTTCAGGTACGAAATGGGGAGCAGACTCTAAAACCCTAATAAACATTTACAATTCACTAATCAGATCAATTTTGGATTACGGATCCCCCTTATATATGACATCGAGAAACTCAGCACTGACAATGCTTGACGTTATCCATAATGCTGGCCTAAGAATGGCATCTGGTGCATTTAGAAGTAGTCCCATAAACAGCATACTCAATATACCACTTAATAATCGGAGAAATCAACTGATGTTGCAATACGCAGTAAGAACAGCAACCGACCCGAACAAACCAACGTATTCCACAGTATTCAATAACAGATTCAAAAATACCTTTAACAACAACAACAAATTAATACAACCTATGTACAAAAGAATAAAAGAAAAAGAGGGAGAACTAAAATTAGAAATAAGTAATATATTGACTAGAGAAATACCCGTAAAACCTCCATGGACAACGACAAAGTACTCGTTTGACATGTCGATAGCGATTTACAACAAAAAAGAAACCACAAATCTTACATACAAAAATGCATTCTATGAATTAATAAACACATTACCAGACCACATACATATATATACCGACGCCTCAAAAACAGACAAAGGGGTGGGTGTTGCTGCTACCAATATATTAACAAATAGTATTATATTATGTATATACATTTTGATTTAGGAGGCTCGTAATGTATTCAATACCCTTGAAGCTGTATATGTTCAGTTTTCAAAGCCTACAAACAATATTAAATTATGTGAAGTACAAACTAAATTAGGTTTGAAAAAAGGTTCCATAATGAGGGTTAGCGATGCTCGTTGGGTTTGTCGGTTTAAAAAGTGTAAAGCCATCATTGAAAATTATGTTGCTATTGTTGAAACACTTAAGATCGAAATTGAGGATCAAGCTGATAAGAATGTGCCTCAAGCAATAGGTAATTGTTATTTTCAACTGTATAAATAAAAATATATTTTTTCTCTTTAATACTTTAATTATTAAAAACTGTTTATAATAGGAATTCTTACTTCAATAGGAAGAAGTGAATTTATTGTTTTAGTTTTTATGCTCCATGGACCATGAGGTATTAAGTATAATGAATGTATTGAGCAACCAACTACAGAATACTGACACTACATTAGGAAAGTCAGTAAATATTATTAATGGAGTTATATCAATAATTAAAAGCCTAAGATCTGATGAGTCGTTTCGTAACCTTTGGACAAGAATTGAACAATTTTCTGAGGAAAATGAAATAGATCTTCAAATTCCAACCACAGATATATTTTTTGTCTTGTATATTTAATTGTATATACAAATTTATAAAAACAAGTTATAGCTTTATATGTACTTAATATGTTTTGTTTAGGATCAAAACGTTAACGAAATCATCCAAATAAATTGAACGATTTTGCTTTATTTACCAATACTAGTGCTCAACATGAAACAGTAGATAAGGATATTGCAGTTAATGTTTATTGGAGACAAACAGCTGATATGCGTGTAATTGATCAAGTGATAACTAATTTAGAAAAAAAGGTTCTCAGCTGAAAGCTTACAGTTAGCAATATCAATAGATAACTTTTTAAGTCTTGATTTTGAAAATAGCATGCTTTTTATAAACCACTATAAAGTAATTATAAATTATAATATTATGAAAATATAAAATTGTGTAACCCTACTATATTTTATGCAGGACCTTTTAGGAGTATGCATTAATAGTTTAAAGGCAGAAATAATTGTTCTAAAAAACTGTTAACCCACTAATTACAATTTTGAAGACATAAAGAAAATAATAAAAAAGAATGTTTATCCAAATTTATATAAATTGATTCATCAATTCATCAATCACAATACCTGTATCATCAGCTACGTGTGAAAGATCTTTTTCAGCCATGCGATGAGTGAAAAATTGGCTTCGAACAAGCATGGGACAAAATCAATTTACAAACCTAGCTTCAATATGTATTGAAAGAGATATTACAAATAACATTAATAATGAAAAAATTATAGATAAGTTTGCATTAACTAATAATAGAAAAAATAATTTATTATAATATGAGAATTATTATTTAATAAATTTATATTGTGATATGCTGAATTGTTTTTTTTATGTTAGATAATTTAATGATTGTATAAAAACATTAAATTTGTATATACATAAAATAGTTTTGCCTATAACAAGGGGAGGGGGGTTCTCGTGTTGTGCTTTATATTTTAGCACTCCCATAAATTTTACCCTGCGTATGTCAGAGACAGCCTATAACATCAATATTATACCTATACAGTATATACTGCAATACAGTGGCGTACGCAGGGGGGAATAACGGACTGAAGCCCAACTATTATTATTATAACTTAAAAAAAAAATATATTTATCAAGTTTCAACTTTCAATTATAGTAAGCAAGACGTAAATTTCATATACGTCTTATCATAATGAATTCATTTTTGATAAAACATTGTATTTGCATACCAATTTTCCTGAAATTATCTATAATTTGTTGGTAAAAGTATGAACTACTTGTATGAAAGACCTTGAATTAAATTGTCTAACTTTAGCTATACACATTTGATATTTTATAAGTTTTGAACTTCAAATTAATTAAGTGTGGTTTGACGAAATTTGAACTTTAAATGCTTATAAAAAATAACCATGTATCGTTAATATTTTAGCTATAATAAAAACTTACGTATTACATTTTTAAGCTTTTTGACTGGATAAATAATTTTTTATTGACATTTATGGACAAAAAAAATTTTAATTAATCAAATACAATCCAAGTGAAGACGGACGGTATAACTAAGCTGGTTAACAAACAATTTTAACAAATTTTCCTTTTTTTTTCCAAAATTATTTTAAAAAGCATTAAGAATTTTCAATTTGGACCTCTTCAAAATTACAAACTAGATCCAATTTGCTTTCAAAAACATACATCGGTCATCGAAGTTTATGATCGGAGCATTTTTTCTACCAGAAAAGTAGACAATTTTAAAATACCTCAAATAAATGTTCGAATTAATTATTAAACTGGAAAAAATAAAAATAAAATTGTCAAGCCCCCCCCCCCATTTAAAAATTCTGGGTACGCCATTAATGTAGGGGAGACCGGGGCTAGTTGACACACTTTATACAATTTTTCTTTCCACGATCAGAATTTCCATTTTAAATACTCGAATTTGTATGTATCCTTTCATTAACATGTAAGCTATGAATTCGTATCATTATATAGTCTAAATATTTAACCCTTTTTTGTACAAAATTTAAAATGTAAAATAAAATGTTTGTGTCAACTAACCCCGGAATCGGGGTTAGTTGACACAGGCATTGGGGCATATTGACACAAAATTAAACAAACTTATTTTGTATAACAAATTACTGTATTATAACAAATATTAAATATTTTTGATTGATAATAATTAAAAACAGGTATTAACCTTAAAATTAATATTTTCATAAACTCATTTTAAGAAATTATATAAAAAAAACTAATAACATTTTTTGTAAAAACAAAATAATAATAATACATAATAGATTATAAGAATAATACATTTTTAAAAATAACTTGAAACTTTTTTGACTTAAGAAAAATATTGAACTGTATTAAAATTATAAAATTAAAAACTTTAAATTCTCTAGAAAACTAATCTATGTCGTCATCTGAGTCACAGTGTTGACAAATATATCGATCTTCTTGACTGGTGCATGCTTCGTGAGACCAATTTTTGCATTTAACGCATTGAACCCATTTTTCTTTGGGGCGACTGGACGAAAATAACTCACAACAAACTAAACACATTGTATCGTCTTCTTCGTCGTCATTTAAAATGAACTTTTTTTTCGCCAACTTTATTGTTTTTGACTGTCGCTTTTTACTTCCACTTGATTTTTTCGCCTGTCTTTCCTGTTTTTGTTTTTCTAATTTTTCTTTCTCGGGTGTATCTGTTAGTATAGCTGTGTGACGTTTCCTAGGATTTGTTCTACCTGCTTTTCTTTGTGGTGCTTTTGGTAATGGTCTAATATCTTCTGGTGTTATAATAGGTGATAATGTGTTTAGATTGGCAGGTAAAGGGCTACTTGTAAAATTATTTGAAGTTGACGCAACTGGCTTTTCTGTTTCTGGTAGATTGTTAGTAGAATTATTTGAAGTGGACGCAACTGGTTCTTCTATTAATAGTTGATTGTTAGTAAAATTATTTGAAATATCAGGCGGTAAATCAATGCAATCTTGTTGATTTGGTTCTTCAATTAATACTTCAGGTCTATCTGTAGCATAACCTGGCATAAAATCAACTTCAGTGAAAATATCCGGATTAAATGGATAAATTCCACTGACAGAAAAACCGGATGAAATATTAGTCGGAGTAGCAGCGAGTGGTAATGCTTGCTTAATAATACCAGGTATATCGTATATAGACATCGTTTTTTCAGGATTATTAACTATCCACGAATCACACGTGGTATTGACGTATTTTTTAAGTGGTCCGAAAACACTCCTGTCTAATGGCTGTAACTTATGCGAGCAGTGGGGTGGGAATGATAGCATAATGATACCATTTTCTTTACAATAGTTTAGACCTTCTATTGATAAATGCGATTCATGATTGTCGAGTAACAATAATATTGGTTTCTCTTTTGAACATTTCACAAATCTAACAAAATGTTTTAAATATTCAACAAAATGGGTTTCATTCATCCACCCTGACACGTTTGCACCGCCAGCACAGCCAGAAGGACCATTGGATAAAAAATAATCTCGAAAACTAACTCTGGGAAAAACAAAATATGGTGGAACACTGTTACCTGCTGCTGAAACAGAATACGCCAAAGTAACTAATGTGCCTCTTTCAGCTGATGTTATTCGACCAATTTGCTTAAAACCTTTACGAGCTACAACTTTATTGGGTTTCTGTACTGTGGTTATACCCGTTTCTTCCATGTTATATATATCCCCCGGACCAAATGAATGACGACTTAAAACGATTTTTAAATTATCAAAAAATCTTTGAACATTTATTCTATTAAAACTGGATGCTCTAGCAAGACTTGTCCCTTCTGGAATTCGTATAGATAAATCAGTCCTACGTTTTTTAAAACTAGTAAACCAATCTGGCCCAGCTATTTTATTTTTCAACCAACTTTCAGGAATGTTTTTTTATTTTCAATTCATATGCATACTGATATGCTAGCTTACGAACTTCGTTTGGTGATAAGCCATAATAAATATCTGAAGATTTTTTTATATAAGCAGAAAGCTGTTCCTCTTCACATATTGAAAATACTTGTTTATGTTTACTGTACCCTACACCACTAACCTGGTTAATATGATCTTCTTCGTTATCTAAGAGTTCACGTTTTTTACAATAGCGTGATAATGTTTTAAACGGTATATTGTAATCTTGTGCTACACTTCTGCGTGACATATTGTCAACTAAAACTTTTTTTACGGCAATTTGTATTACGTCGATAGGTACTTTTGCTCTACTTGATGTCCTTTTATAATTTCTAACCATTGCTAAATACCTACATATAAGGAAACATATCATTATAAAATGAAAATTTCTACAATGGGGCAAATTGACACGTGTCAACTTTTTTCTTCTTTCTCAACCGATCTACTTGTGTCAATTAACCCCAAACGGTTTTTTCTAATATTTGGCATTTTGAAAAAAAGTGGGATGTTTAATTAACACAACAATTATGATATTAATTAGTACGTACTGTTATCTTTATTTTGATGTGTTGAAATTAAATTAATACGTTGTTTATTCTAAAAAAATATATTTTTTTTAAGCATCATAAAAATTACTTTTAACAGATAAATATACAAAATTGATAATAACTGAAATAGATTAAATCGTTAAGTTTTGTTATCACGCATGATAGGGGGTAATCATATGATTGATTCATCGATGGTGCTACTGTTTTTCCAACATAAATTGTATAACTTATATTTGTTATGTGTCAATTTACCCCTGAGGCCAACTTGCCCCGGTCTCCCCTAATAATTAATAGTATAACACTTTATTCCTACCTACCTATATATGAAATGATGTAAATCACTTTATACATCTTGTGATACAATGGGGCCCTGTAAACAATTCTATTTATCCTAGTACAAAACAAATTATTACTCGAACTATGGGATTACTCGTTCTGTGTACATCAATCGAAAATGCCGAAAAAAATATTAGAAGCATTATTCGATATAATTTTAAGTAAATTTGATGGAAACATAGAAGGAACCAAAATATACATGGACACCTTGTTGTAATACGAAGCGTTATTTACGTTAGCGTCATTGGTAACAACTAGTGTTATAAATTTAGTAGAATCAAATGAACCTAATGAAGAAGATCCAAACAACACAACTAGTAGCGTTAATGAATATGACATTACTGATGACGAAAACATATCGAACTCCAATACCACTTTCAAAGATTGGTCAAAAATCTAGATCTAAAGTTACATAAGTAGTTGGAATTTCAGATAATGCACAGTATCTACTTGCACTTGACCTTATCATTATAAGAACATATTTTAAGGTACGATTCCTATGTACGCGTCTAGAGACAAGCGGCAACGCGGCGCGGTTTGAATTCCAGCCGCTATGTTGTTTTTCTAACCGCACGCTCAAATCTATATTCCTATACAACCGCGCAGTGGTACGGCGTGGCTATAAATATTTAAATATATTTAAAATCGATCAAAATATTATTCTATTTTGGTAGGGGATTTAACATAACATAACATTTCCTAGTGAGCACTGAGTACACTATTATTTTTGGTAATTGATTTAGTGTTCACTCTTTAGTGTTCGGTGTATTTTGAACTGTTGCAAGTGTGTTTCTCCTATTTTTTTAAAATAATAATTATTTTTGTCAAGTATGGCTATGACAAAAAAACAAAAAAAGTTTTTGAAACTTCTTCTTTTGCATGAAGCAGAAGAAGAAGAGGCTATAATACAATATATTTTAACAAATGAAAAAAACAAAGTCCACCAGATGTTTTTGTCTCGAAAAACCGAAGGATTTTTCAATATAATTATTGAAAAACATTTATGGCGAGACGGTAAAAAATGCAGAGAATTTTTTCAGTTGAATTGGGACCAATTCAATTATGTACTAAACTTAATTGAAGAAGACATCAAAACAAGTCCTAGCATTAAAGTTCCGGAGCCAATAACTGCTGCTGAAAAACTTGCAGTGACATTAAGGTAAGTTAAATAATAATTTTAAGTGGAAGTTGTAATAAGTATGTATGCAATTATATTTTATGTTCAATATATTTGAATTCCTCAGTGTAATAAATTTAATTTTTTGTTTCCATGTCCAAATTTTATTATTCTCCAGTTTTTAATACTTATTTTAAAGTTATTTTACTTTATGTTACTACTACTATATTATGATATATTGATATACTATATTAGGTATAATTATTTTAAAAACAAAATAGCAACAAATTTCTTTGGTGTATGATATTATACAGGATGTAACAGGAAAACCTGACAAATTGAAAAATTTCTGTTCTGTTCTAATCAATATTTTTTGATTTTTAATTTATTGACTCGTGCAGTATAGGTACCTACACGTATAATATAACATTTTTAGATTCTGAGCAAAGAGATGAATGTATTGATTTTAAAATGATTTTGTATTAGCATTTTCTATACACCATCCAATTTTCAAAATATTTTGAATTATTTTGAGCTTATCAGTTTCCAATATTTTAGTTTTTTTTTTTAATAGATTTCAATTAAATTTTATTCTCTCTGTCAAAAGAAGATTTGATTCAAATCGCACGGGACTTTTGAGAAAAATGGAACTTCCCAAATTGTGTAGGATCAATTTATGGGAAACACATTCGAATATTTTGTCCAGGAAAAAGTAAATTTATTTACGTCGATATTGGTTCATACGGTAAAGATGTTGACAGTGGGATCTTTTCAAAATCATGTTTATATAAGTTAAATAAACAGGGAAAATACTTTCCTCCTAACTCGAAACTTCCTTCTTCAAATCAAACGTTACCATATGTTCATGTTGGTGACGAAGCGTTTTGTTTGGAGACACACATGATGCGTCCATACACACGTGGAGAAGCCCGAAAAGATTACGAAAAAACCATTTTCAATTATCGCTTGTCGAGAGCTCGAAGAACTGCAGAAAATAGTTTTGGCCTTCTCAGTCAAGTATTTATTTTATTCACCCATCGCTTTAAAATCTGTAACCTCTGACCACCTAGTACTATCAGCTTGTTGCCTCCATAATCTGCTTAGGAGTAGATACATAGAAAACACTTCTAATTATTATTATAATTTTGACTACAGCGAAACTGAACCTTCACAAAATATGATAGGTCTTGCTCGAGCAGGAGGGTATGCTAATTTTGAAGGATTTCTGGTAAGAGATGAATTTAAAAAATTTTTCAACTTCGAAGAAGGAGCTGTTCCATGGCAAGACCACCAAACACAAAAAACAGACAATGCACAATAATAATAATGTACAATACCTAATTCAAAGTACCAATAGGTATATAAATACCTATTATTAAATATAATTAATAATATATTATAATTTTACATTAATTAAATTAATTATTATTAGATTATTATAATGTTAATTTAATATTATTTAATTTCTTAACTATTTCAGTTATTTTGTTTCATAATATGATATAAAAAATGTAATATAATATAATATAAAAAGACTTACCACTTTTTGTTTTTAAAATCACGCATATTTCCTTCCAAACATTTTCTCTGACTTGTTGATCCTTATATGCCGGATGCTTCAAGTCGAACAAGCATGGGTGTTTACTAACACACTCGGCTAGTAATGTATCTTCCTCCAAAGAGAATAAAAAATCCAGTAAAAACAAAATAATCAAAATTTAAAAAAAAAATGCTGTGTTCAACAGTCGCGCGGTTGATGCGTTTTGACTGCTTCCGCTCTGGTCGCAGTCACGCGTCACCGGCCGCATGCAGTCATCACGTGCGGCTGGGGTGGTCTAGGGAAACTATTCTATTTAAAAACGTGAAAACCAGTAATGTGCGGCCAAAAATAGAGCCGCGTTGCGTCAACCGCACTGGTTGTGCGTCTACAGTATCGTCCTAAGGAATCGCACCTTTAAACTATTTCCTTGTTGGTCCGGAATAATGAGAAAACATTTTGTATTTGGAGAAGAAACTGCATCTAGTAGCAGGATTGAGTGCAAATATTAATCACAATAAAAATCGAGTGTTCAAAAATAGTAATTTGTCCTTGAGAGTGGATTCATTTATAGAAGAACTGAATACGTATAAAGGTGCGTCCACACTGGAGAACGAACGCGAACGAGTGCGAACGAATGCAGATTCGGTCCAAATATTCGTGGGTTCTATTTTTAGTGTGGACGTACACGCGAAGCCGAACGAAGGCCTTCGAACGCTTTCGTTCGCGTTCGTATGCGATCGCTCGGGTGGCGGTACATCAAAGAGAATATTATTTTGGTATGGACGCAATTCGTCACCAATTGGTATTTCCCCGAACGATCGTTGTTCACTCAACTTGTAATTATAATGTTTAGTGTTTGAATATTGCACCAGTGTCGTATTGATTTTATACAGAGCCACAGAGGATTAGAGGATCAGAGTTTTAGTTTAAATTTTTAAGTTAAGTGTTTTTAATTATAATTAAAACTAAATTATTAAATTTTAAACGACATGGAATGGAATGATGAGCAATCTTTAAAATTAATACAATTATACAAGGATCATCCAATTCTTTGGGATCCCACATGTTCTCAATACAAATTAGGCAAAAAGAAAATTGAATATTGGAAAGAAATTGCGACTGAACTCAATACAAATGCCGTTGAAGCCAAGAAAAAAATTGATAGTCTACTTGCATCCTATCGTAGAGAACGAAACCGTGAAGTTAAGCCATCTGGAGCAGGCAGTGATGAAATTTACCACTCGAAATGGTTTGCATTTCAATCGATGCAATTTTTAAACGATAAGTTTAAACCTAGGCCTACTAAAGACACAACTGATTCACTTGTAAGTACAAATTATATTTTTATTTTTTTTATTTACTATTATTGGCAAATTTATCATTGAACATATTATAAAATACATATTTAACACAATACATTTGATCACCTCATTTAAGCTTGCTTGAGATGGAGGTGAGAGTTCTTATGTATACCTAACCTTTTTTTTTATAAGATAATAAAAGTATGTTTTTTTAAAATAATTTATCAAAATCAAACACTTCTAAATCATTATAAATGAGATCTATACTAAACCTTTTGAATACTAAACAAAAGTGTGTTTAGTTTTTCAAGATTAAGCTCTTGGAAATTATTATCAAACCACAATTTAGTCTTTTTAAAAACTATAGATTAGCTTTATTATATAAACCAGTCAAGCTTTCTTCTTGGATCAATGTTATATAGTATAATCAGCAAAACAAATTATATATTGATATTCAATAAATCATTAATATATATAAAATAAAAAATATAGTTCCCAGGACTGTACCTTGCAGTACTCTATTATTTTTGTTTAATATTGAACTATAAAAATTCCGGCATAATTTAGTTTTTTAGAAGGATCTCATGATTCACACTATAAAATGCTTTTTTAAGATCCAAGCAGTGGCGTACATACGGGGGGGGGGGTTCGGGTTCAAACCCCCCCCCAGGACCAAAAAAAAAAAAAAATAATGTGATATTATTGATGAATTTCTTATTATTAATCAAATATACGTCATAATAATATGACTATTGAGTAAACAGTAAACACTATACTTAACCAACAACGAAAAAAGATGTACGCCACTGAATCCAAGAATACCTACCCATTACTTTACGATTAGCATCTAATTTTTCATGTATGTAGTTATTAACAATAAAATTAGCATCAGATGTAGATTTACCTTGCAATATATTATGTGTTATTTATTTAAAACACCTTTTTTACAAACTTATATTTTTTAATTAAAATAATAAAATTAAATGAACATGTTATTATAAAAACATCAATATGGAAACTTGAAATATATAATTATTAATTAAATATTTTTATTTTTTATTTTATATTTAAATATATTTGATATTTTAAATACATTTTTATTCAAAATATAAAAAAAAAACAAAATTCATTTTTATTCGAAATCTGCTTGCCAAGGAACACGACCATTGTTTGAAAAATATTCTGCAAATTCTTGTCTTATTTCTTCTGCAAAATTAGATGGTCTTCGAGCTATTCTTGTTAATGGCAAAAAAGACGTCAAATTGCCTACATCTCTTCTCCAATTTCCTTCAGGCAGATCATGCCCTTCCGTTTCACAGTCAAACATTATCGGCGGGTGAACCATATTTTTAAAAATATTGTTTTTTTCTTATAAAATTGTGTAAATGTATGCAGCCATTACAACGAGTACTGCAGAATCAGGTTCTAAAAGCATTGGTTTTCTTAACACTCGAAATATAGCAGATAAAATTCCAAATGCATTTTCCACTATACGGCGAGATCTAGAAAGTCTATAGTTAAACGATCGTTTTATTGATCCTTTTTCTTGGGATCCTCCATAAGGTTTCATTATATTACACGATAATTGGAATGCTTCATCGGCAACAAAAACGTAGGGAACATTTTTGTCTCTGCCTGGTAAATTCTTCGGAGGTGGTAATTTTAATGTATTAGCTTCTAGTTTTTTGTATAAGGACGTATTTTTAAAAGAGATCCTACCCTGACAACCAACATCAGCATATAAGAAGTTGTAATCCGCATCAACAAGAGCCATTAAAACAATACTAAAATGGGACTTATAATTAAAAAAATCACTACCACTACCGATAGGTGATTGAAGTTGAATATGCTTGCCGTCTATGGCCCCAACACAGTGTGGAAAATTCCACTTATTTTCATATTCTTCGGCAATACTAAGCCAATCTTCCTCAGTACTTGGCAACTAAATTTAGTTAAAAAAAAAAAAAAATCTTAAATAAACAAGCACAAAATAATAAACCTATAAACTATTTGACAGCATTTAAAATAATTTGGAAATAAGGAAAAGTACCTAGTTAAGAAACATTTATATTAGATTCTGAACGGAGTGATGAATGTATTGATTATTCAATGATGTGTTTTTTCTTTTTTTCTTTTTGTATCTATCATCACATTTTGAAGCAGTAAAAGTTCTTCAATCTTAAAAATCAGGGGTGGTTTTGGGTAGCAAAGTGAATGCATATTGTACTTTGAGGGGTCAGAACCAGAAGTAAAAAGTTTTCAAATGCGAATAACGAAAAAAAAAATAAGGAAAAAACGGTAATTATTACGCAAAACAAGTTTGAATTTTTTATTTGGCTGAACCTCAAAAATTAAAAATTGTAGATACTTGAAATTTTGACAAAATGTTTATATCGATATATATATATATATATAGATACATGGGAAAATTATTGAAAGATTTTGAATTTTTTTGAAAATAAAAAATCATTTTAAAAATATTCAACTCAGAAAATTCAGGTGCTAAATCATCAATAAAATCTAAATTTATACCAGACTGGGAATCATTGAAATTGAATTTTTTTGGAATAAATTTAGAACATACATCATCATTAAAGTTCCACTGACCAGAAAACACTTGTTTTGGTGAATTTTGATTTTTACCTTTTTTACTGCACTTATTTGCACCGCTTATGTTGTCACTAATACTATTACTTGTATTTTTTATACTTTCATCAACATCCATAAGACCATTGGAAATATTTGAAATGTTAACACCATTATCATAAAATATAGGCAAATTTTCAATATCTATAAAATCTAAATCAGAATTAATAGTAATTTCGGGAGAACTAGCAAAACAATACATGTCCTGGTCATCATTAGAAATATATTGAATACTTGATGTTGGTTTTGAGCTGGGAAACTGGCTGTAAAGATTCCTTGAAGTATTTACTGGAGTACTGCACAATTTAGAAACTAATTTTTCCCTAATCGTTTTTACTAAACTATCACCTTCCAATTCAGAATCTGATGTGTCACCATCCCAAGACCAGCCATCTTCATCGTCCTCAGATTCAGCATTGGTAATTAATTCGTTTATTTGATCTTGAGAAAGAGAAGACATTGTAAAAATAATAAAGGTAGTAGGTATCAATAAACTAATAACTAATAAACTATCTATTATAAATTGGACATCTAATTAACATAAAAGTACAATATTTTTCTCTGTTCCGAACGTAATCAATCAAATTATAACGTTAATGAAATATATTGTGATAAAGGAAATTAAATGTTTTGGCGGGTAGATCGACAGCTTCAGTCTTATCCGATGTGAAAAACAACAACGTAATTATACAATATATCACAGTGTAGGCAAAAACAGTACACATCATGAAAACCTTAAATTAATTTTTATTTTATTATAAAGTGAACACTGTTAATTATATTATTCTCTTTGACTTTCATAGCCAATAGATAGGAGTAAATATTTCATTATCA